CTAACCTAAAAATACTTCAAAACGACTTGGTCAAGGTATACTATTCTGACCATGATGCAATCAAAATTAACATTCAAAAATTCACGATGACGTCAGATCATTGCTGAAAAATAATGCTTGATACAGTAAATTTAATAAAAACATTCCAGTTCAAAATACCTTTTCTTTCCAGTATCGACGCTTGCTGCTGTGTCACTAGCTGATAATCAATACCGCAATGAATTCACCTCCAAACAGCCTGTTACTACAACGATTTGTATGACTTGTATGCCAAAACTACCAAGGAAACAATGTCTCTAAAAATTGAGATCGAATTGAGAGCATAAATAGTGGATGGTATTCAAACGAAATCATTCAAAGAGTTCTGTTACAATAAACCCACATAGCACACTGCTTGTATTTATATTAAGGGCAAAAATGTTGATGTACAGTACTACTTTTACTTCACCTTTTGCGAAGTATTAGAGCTTTGAGCTTAGAGTGGATCCATGGAACAAGGATCGAAATTCTCGAGTTCTTATTGGTCAATGTTTGCAAGTAACAATGCAATGGACCAATCAAATTCAAGAATTTCCGATCCTAAATTCCAGCATAAAAGCGTGTTCAAAAACTTAACCTGTCATTTACCAACCAAAGTCCGTCGTCTGGATTTCGCCATGCCTAATCAGAGAGGTACAACGGCAGATCGTTCAAAAAGTTCCAAGAATTTGAAAGAATCGCCCAAAAAGATCTCTTCGACTTCTTCAGCAGATAAACAATCTTCTGCGACATCTAACAAACGGCCATTGTCCACACAGAAATTGGAAGCACCAGGAGACACTTTGGCCCGAAAGTCGCGTTGGTCGAAGAAACCGCCATTAGATGTGTCCAAAACCTATCCAATCCCAGAAGAAACAGGGGAAACACTCTGGATTACTGCACCTTTCTACTCCAAACAGCGACAAAGAACGTGGAGACCCTCCTCTATAGCCCCCATAAAAGACCTCTACTTCTTCAAAGTCAAGAAAGACACGCTCTTATTAAGCTCACTTACTTCACCTACACTCAAGCGAAAGATAAAATTATCGACATGACTAACATTAGTACTCCACAACAGAGTGAATATTCATTTCAACATCAAACCCCTACAGAACCTCAAGCGCCAAATACCAAAGTGTTAGATGTGCTCAATACCTCCAAAGAATGGGAAGTTGTCACAGTTCAAGGCAAGATTTTTGGATTGAAAGACCAGCATATAGTTGGAAGTCCCCGCAAAAAACTTACGCTTGTGGAGGCGTTTCTTGACGATGGATCTGGCAGGATTCCCATAGATATTTGGGAATCTCACATCGAAAACGTCGAAACTGGTAGGTATTGCAATGTTTTTAAAACATGTCAAAAAATGCCGTGTTAATGTACTAGTCAAATCGAAGCTTTGGAAGTCCCCCTAGGTGTAAACATATCAGGTCTGCGGTTATAGGTCTCGCACATGCGTTATGCAGGGACACATGGCAGGCTCGACGTTGTGTGGTTATCGTTCTTGTTTTGAGGAATTCTGGTTGTACCACTGTTAACAATAAAAGTAAGTTGACAGTAACTGAGGCCCACACAATCACATTACACTAGGCATTTGAATTTTTGGAAAATTTTTGCTCAAATGCCTCCCTCACTGGGCCAAAAAGCTGTTCAGATGCCCCCACTGGGAAAATTACCAGATTACTGTTTTAACTTTTCAGTAGCTTCTATAATGCTTCTGAGGCTGTGCATGTTAACATGGTTTATTAGACAACACTTATTTAACTGTTATACATATAAATATTGTTCTTAAAAACCAAATACGAAACACTGCTTGTGTAGGCCTTTGGTTTTCAACCAATCCGGCACGAATACGCAATCTTTTCCTTTGAATTTATGAGCGATAAACTTCCCCACCCTCTGAGTGGTAATCAAATGCCCTCCCTCCCAGGCAGGAACAGCTGTCAAATGCACGGGGTATGCCCAGGGTGGGGAGATGTTTAAGCTTCGATTTGACTGGTACATAACATACCGTATTTATTTACTTATAAGGTGCACCATTTTTCACGAGAAAATATCCTTCTTCTATGAAAATCTGCTTAAAACTCGGGGTGCATCTTATAACCGAGTATTTTCGCGCAAAGAAACATAACTTTTCCAAATTTCCCTAATAATTATTAATTAATTAAAACTCTTTTTCCTAGTCGCACCAGGAGAATGGTACGCCCAAGTACCGATCTTATAACTTAAAATGCTGTTTCCTGAGAAGGATGACTTGAGCAAATTAAAAAGTGTGACTTTTTTGCTATTGTTTGCAATGTGTGACTTTTTTGCTTTTGGTTCGAAAATGGAAGCACCGTAATTAGTAACTTTTGGAAGCAAATTGTTGTAAGTACAGGTGGATAATGGATATGGATGGATATGGATATGTATAAGTACAGGTGAAATTTTCATTTTGGCTATGGATAAGTACAGGTGAAATTTTCATTTTACTTGTCACAATCGTCTTCAAAAGTTTAGGGTGCGTCTTATAACTGAGTTCACCTTATAAGTGAATAAAAACGATAATTTCTTTTCATTTCCATAGACCAAGTTTATAACTTCGCCAATGTTCAAGTCAAAGTCTGGGGTGGAAGAAAGAAGCTTGCAACCACTATGCGCACAGCCATTCCAGCTATTGACAATCAACTGTTACATGATCTACCAACAAATAGCGAAGACCTGGAGCCACAACAAACCCTCAAAATAACTGGGGTTCACTCCATACAGAAGATAACCAAGTATTTAGAGTGTGTCCATTGTAGCAAAGGTATAATCCAGGGAACATGCACAGATATCATCATTTGTGAACACTGTGGCCACATGATGAAGACAGACTCCTCCCAGACAAAAGTTGTGGCAAAGATAGTCATTAAGAAGGATGACCAAGAAGTAGTTTTCAAAATTGATCATCCTCTACTCGAAAAGATCTATCCTGGTGTAATCTCTATGGATCACTCAGTCTTAGGAAGAGAGTTGCTTTATGGTCTTATGGATCATACTCTTCTGTATAATACTGAAAACTTTAATGTGTTGGATATCACAGTTTAATTTAGCCTGAGTATCAGGCTTTTCTTCGTTGACTTACTTGACCATTTTGTTAGGTTGTGTTATAAAAACTGTTAAAGTCTACCCTATCATAAAAACTTTTGGAACTTTGTTTCCTCTATTTTCAATATGCTTAATTTTGTAACGTGTCCACTGTAGCAAAGGTATAATCCAAGCAACATGCACAGATATGATCATTTGTAAACACTGTGGCTACATGATGAAGACAGAGTCCTAAGATGGATGACCAAGACGTAATTTTCAAAATTGATCACCTTTTACTCGAAAAGATGTATCCTGGTGTAATCTCTATGGATAACTGTTTTAGAAAGACAGTCACTTTATAGTCTTATGGATCATACTCTTGTGCTTAATACTGAAAACTTTAATGTTTTGGATATCAGCGTTTAATTTAACCCGAGTATCAAGCTTTTCTTCATTGACTTACTTGACCATTTTGTTAGGTTATTTTTTTGTAATTTAGTGATTTTGTTAGGCTATGTTAGAAAAACTGTTGGAGTCTATACTGTATTATAAAAACTTTTGGAACTTTGTTTCCTCTATTTTCAATATGCTTCATTTGTAACAATGACTTGATTTTTGGAACTTTGTTTGCTCTATTTTCAATATGCTTTATTTGTAACAATGACTTGACTTTTGCTGTGCGGAATACTGTATTACAATAAAATTGTTTCGATACTTGTTTCAAAGTCGAAATACTGGTCAGAATCTCATTTAAGTGGTTCATTGCAAAGCTTTTACAGACCTTAAAGCACTGGGAAAATTTCATTGGATTATCTTAACTACTTTGTGAGATTTAGGTTTCTTAGTAGTCAGTAACCTTGAAAATGGACAGCAGAGAAAATGGTCCAAGAAGTTAGAGTATAGTTCACCGATACATGTTCGTTCTTCTAATACAGTTAAAACGCCCCAGCTCCATTGGTAGGTCCCTCTCTTGCTTCAATATTTCAGAGTAGCCTTTTTTGTGACAACACCATAACAGGAAGAAAAACCTCTTCTCCTCCAGGTCCCATCCCTGAAATTCCAATAGTTGTAGACATCATCTTGTTCTGGTTCATAAAATCCTTTTACTTCATCAGCAGCCTTTGACATGCATTTTTCAGCAGCAGTTTGAGCTGCATTCTTCACTGCCTTGAGATGGTCTTGAAATAAATTTTCCTGCATTGGTGGTAGCATGTTCATCACACCGCAAAACTTGACAAGGCCTTGATGACCAACACCTATATTTCTTGTCGCCAGAACCACTCTTCTGTTTACTTCGAACGCCTGGCTGTTGACCACTTTGTTAAATGTGTAAAACAGCTTCTCAAATTTACACTTCGATGACGAGCACTTTAAAATAAGAAGAGATGCTTGGCCCATTTTCT